CTCACTCTCTCTCCCCCCTCTCTCTCTCTCTCTCTCTCCTACAATATAAGAATCTGTAACGTTGCAAATGGCTTTTTTTTAAAACTGCACATTTGTATAAAACATTCTTGACGTGGAGGTCCGTAATTCGTTGAGAATAAGATCAAATAGAATGTGTCATTATAAATAAAAATAACGTTATAATTGGCTTCCTATTCTAAAATGTATACATTGTCGAAAATTTCATTAACAAAATGATATATGCAAAGATCCCAAAATTGGTAAGTACTGTTTTTGTAAAAAATAAAATTAGGAAACTATTTTAAATAAATTCCTTGTAATTTTCTCTCCGATATTATAAATCATGTTGTTTGTAAAAGATTTTAAGACTTATTTGTATGACAAAAATTAACTAACAAAATAAGCTAACAAAATAAGCCCGACAGTAATTTATGAGAAAAAGCGGCTCAGACATGTATTTTATGCTTGCCTGTATCATTTTAGACATGAAAACCAACGATACAAAATTAATGTTGATACAGAAACTATCCTATCTCTGTTAAGATGACTTTCAAAAATAAATAATTATATAAAAGAATATGTTGATATAAATCTTAAATATGGAACATGATTAGATTTTAGCTATTTATATATTTTTGTAAAGTTCATAAAAATAAGTAACATCTTGAATGAAAAATATGGAGGCGGTTTGTTTCGAGAAATTCGAATAATATATTTGTTGTATGATAACAAACTGTCATATAATAATTAGCGATTTTTTATATATGTGCATAGGAATGTTTAAATCTAATTGTTTCACGAGGCTAAGAAAATTTGAGTATAAAGGTAATAAAATAAGTAAAAATGTATCTAGCTTTTTTATTCGATTATATATATGCATATATGATGTGTATGTGTTGAGAGGAAAATATTAAAATTATTAAAATCTGTCATAAGGATTGTATCAAAAAATTATTATTAAATAATTTTTTTCTTTAGTATTGTGTAAAAATCAAAATTAATATGCATATAACTAATTAAACGGCTAAAAAGACAGAATAGGAAGCCAAGCGATAATATTTATGTAAAACAGTAATGTTTATTATTTTTATACTCATCTAAAGCCAAATTTTTAATTTCATCATTATTATCATTAATTTAGAGTCACTCGCACACACATTCAAGCATTTGGCAGGCAAGAACCTAGAAGAATCTAATTCAGAGAGAGCAGCATTACTACGAAGTCATCATATCATTGACTGAATTTGATATATTAGGTCCTTTTAGGGCATCATTTATGTCTCTTCTAAACATTGATAAATTTTGTGTAAACCTGCAAAACAACAAGCGTCATAACGTTTAAGGATGCTTAGAACATATAGTAGAATACATACTACGTGACTTTCCTACCTATCTCTATTTTTTGTGAGTAAATTTCTTTCAATCCCATTCATTAAATTTTCAAACCATTGGGCCATTGCTGCTTGCTTGTCAACTGGTTGACTTCTAATAATATTTTCCCTTAATTGATTAAAATACTGCAAGAAGAAATTAAATGGAATGTATGATTACATGTAAAAAAAATAACATGTAAAAATGGATATTACGAAACAACATATTGTAGGAATTATTACATTATAAACGTTCATTGTGAACTTACGTCTTCATTTAACAATATGAGACCTAACAAAGGACGAGACATGCTCCATTGATTTCTACAATCCTCGAACATTATCACATTTAAAACAGTACTTAAGATTTGTTGAAGTATTTCAGGATGCTGTTTCAAAACTTGCAAAAATAATTCTCCTCCTCCAGGAACAACTGCATTTTTTCTTCCTGGATATCCTAAAAATATATACAATATAAAATCAGTACAATATATTTGCCATAATTTCTTGTATTACAGTGTCGTCGCAGACACACTGTATTTTATTAATAATTAAATATTGTTAAAAGTACCTTTTTGATAAAGTTGTTTAAACAAGTATGTAACAATATGATCGAGAGTTGCACAGCAACCAGTACAGACCATAGTATCTGAAATTATAAAGTTGTGTTTTTAATCGAATTTTTATCTCCGGAAGAAAATTAAGACATGCTTATATTTAAAACCTTAATAGAAAAAAAAGTGCATGCAACCAAAATGGCAGCATTTCTATTGCAAGCTTATCAGGACCTACCTGCTTTTCTATTGTACAGCTTGATATTTTGTAAACTTACAATTTATTTTACTAAGAATAAATATCAGTAAAAAAATTGCTATATAAATTTCAACGTAGAAGGCAAAATTTTTTCATTATTATTCTATATCATAGAATCGCAATTATTCGCATCAATATCTAAATTGTTGCTAATTGCAAGTGCACAAAATCTCAAAAATGTGATTTCTGTTATCTTATCCACTTACAAATGATATACAAAATAATTTTAACATATTACGCAAACATATTGAATTGAGATCGTCGATATTGCATACAATTATTGAAAAAAATTGAAGCATATAATGCATGCAACTGCAATTAGTACATTAGTCATTATAAAACATACATAATCTTTAAGTCAATGTTATTGTATTTAATAATACGTCAGCTGTGCGGCTGATTATCTGTGTCAGACCCGTTATTCAATTCTGTTTCAATCGAAACAGAAAACTGCATAACACTCATAGAGCACATTGCAGAGAATACAAGTTATGCGGTTCTTGCGTATAGGACTTTATTATGTTTAGAGAAGGTCCACAGGCTCCACGCACTCCAATCCTCTTATAGCCAATGTTATTTGTAGTAAAGTGTTCTCAGTGATTTTCTTCATTGTGCATAATAAAATATGCTCGAAATATGCATCTGTTTCTTGCATTTCGAACTGTCGCGCAGTGACTAATATCTATAGGCAGATTTACATTCCAAGCAATAATGCAAAAAGCAAGAAATCTTAAAACCAATGTAAAATTCTTAAGTATACAATGAAAAAAAGTATTACAATCTTAAGTATTTACGCTCGCAATAGTGACACAAATGATTTAGGAAAAATATGTTCAAAGAACAATTCTAGATGCAAAAGACTTACAAAAACTACAAATTTTAATCCCGCATATACCTATATGTAACGTGTTCTGTCGAGTCAATTACTTCTTTCGAATATTTCGAATTTTACAAATAAGTTAACATACGCATAATTCTAACTAGTATATGTTAAATATTTATAACATTATCTTTCCCTTTCAACAATATATGTAGAAACAGTTTTTTTTTTAAAAACATTAATTAATCGAGAGAAATAAAAAATTGTTTTTAACTTGTATATGTTTGTCCAAGTGCAAAAATGATTTCAATTTCAGTTTCAAGATATGGCATTGAGGATATAGAGAGTAGTAGTAGCAAGATAGAATCAGCCGCACAGACCTGTATAGAAGTCTTTTTGCGCACCTAGAGCTGTAAGGCCTTCGCTGATACTGGAGAGAATGTAGAGAAAAACCCTAGGTTCCAAAGTGGATAAAAAGACCATGTGATCTTGCGCCAGACATTCGAGTAACAAATAATATGTTGCCGACAGTTTTGGATAATGCTATCGAAAATAGTATATATTAGTGATAATAAGAGAATAATAACATCTTTATCATTATAAATTATCGATGCTGATATAATTTGAATTACCAAGAAGCAAATTACTTCATTAATAAAGAAAATGTTAGCATCGTAACCAATATACATACCAAAAGATCACTTTGTGGAATACTAAGGAGCAACTTGACAAATGTATTGAGGGCATTGTCCAACGCCTCGTCACCGTACAGCCTAAACACTCCAAAGTTTACGTAACTTCCACATAAGGCTGCCTTCAACATACTGAAGCATATACTTATTCCTTTGAGTTTTAAGGGATAAATCTGATCCTTGGGTACTTCAACGTTTAATATGTGATTGCCGTAGCTACATATTATTTTGCTGGCCTCGCGGAACAACAGGATCCCGTTTGGAGACGATGCGTCGAATTGTAATCGTTGACTCCTATTTTGTACTAACTCAGCAAATAACTTCAGGACGGGTGTTGTCACCTGCGGTTCGTGATGCCACAGCTCCACAGCGTGTAATAAAATCGGTGTATAATTCGGATATCTAGGTTGAGAGGAAATATCGATAATAAAGCAATTGCTTTTTAACAATGTTAATCGCTAGTGTCAAATATTTATACACATTCTGTCTCATTCACATACAGGGTGTCCCGTACTTTTTTATCAATATTATCTTAGGAAGATGGGATCGATTGAAATAAACAAAAATTGCAATATTTGCAATAATTTAGATATTGAATGTTAAAGTCGTGCAAACAGCACGCCGAGACGACACGGGGAAAGTGCTCAAGCCATAGCACGATCCACTCCCATACAGCTCAGGTGGTTGCAGTTACATTGCAGAAACGTTGCAATCTTGCAGAGACATTGCAGGGATATAAAATTGCAAACTTTCGATAGCAATATTGCAGCAATGTTTCAAAAATAATGAAAATACTATATTTTCTATTTAAAAAATTTTTCTAATTACGAGAATTTTATAATATAATGTTATTTACGTTGATACCAATAATGCGCGAATTATTAAGTACTTGATCAGTGCGGTGTTGCTCGCAATCTCCATCTATTGCGAAGCGACATAATCTCCTTAGGTTGCTTCGCAATAGCTTGCTGTGTATTGAAGAAGGCCCGGATGCATATGTAATTAGTAAATTCTCTGCTTATGTACAACAACAAATTATTTAAAAAATATTGCACTGCAACATTGCTATAATGCACTGCACTGCACTGCAATCTCTCTGAGGGCGGACATTTCAACGTTGCAGCAATGTTGTGCAACGTTTCTGGAGGATTGCAGCAACGTTGAAATATTCGCCCTCAGAGAGATTGCAATGAAACATTATAGCAATGTTGCAGCGCAATATTTTTGAAATAATTTGTTGTTGTACATAAGCAGAGAATTTACTAATTACATATGCATCCGGGCCTTTTTCAATGAACAGCAAGCTATTGCCAAGCAACCTAAGGAGTTTATGTCGCTTCGCAATAGATTGAGATTGCGAGCAACACCGCACTGATCAAATACTTAATAATTCGCGCATTATTGGTATCAAGGAAAATAACATTATAAAATTCTCGTAATTAGAAAATTTTTTTAAATAGAAAATATAGTATTTTTACTATTTTTGAAACATTGCTGCAATATTGCTATCGAGAGTTTGCAATTTTATATCCCTGCAATGTCTCTGCAAGATTGCAACGTTTCCGCAATGTAACTGCAACCATCTATGCTGCATGGGTATTTACCACTAGTGATTTGTAATATTAAAAAAAAACACACAATATACATACATCCAATCAAAAAGCATCATATAAGATGTCTTGGTGTTGAACGCATAAGCTAAGCCTCTAAGGTCTCGTGCCAAACCGATCAGTGCTTTCTTTGCTTCCTCTGCTGCAAAAAGGGGTGTATCTGCAGCACCCATTAATTGACCAAGGCTCTCCAATGCACCTAAAGTTATACAATTATATAAGAACTTACTTGCCGCACAATATAATGTTTACAAAAATAAATAAAAAATGGTTAAACGTTGATAAATTTTCTTACCTGTAAGAGGTAACATAAAGGTATGAAATCTTTCCTCGTCCTCACCTAAATCTACCATCAATAATCTACCAAGAGATGTGTAAAACATTGATCTACAACGCATTTCTGTCACAGCAACATTGTTTCCCAAAAATGGAAAGTGTTCTCGCTGTCAATATGAAAGATTTAACGATTTTTATTATTTAATTATTATGTACAAAAAGACTCTTGGTTAACGTTGTAACTTATTATTTATACAAAATATTAAGTAGCAGAGTTCAATATGTACCGTATGATTGTTGAGCATAAATTGTACTTCTTCTAATTTGACGAGTTTACGAACACAACTATAACCCACTGATAAGTCATTTAAAAGTTGTAGTGTCTTGGAAATAATTTGTTCGCTTCTACCCCAGTACTTTAAATTCGTTATTCTGTAAATTAACACATGGCATTGCAATCCGGTGTACTTTGCAAATTACAGGAACATTGCTCATATCTTTCGTATATATTACTTACATCTTTCGAATGAAAATACTGAGTACCATTGCCTCATCGTTAAGACCCAACACATCGGACAATCTCCTGTACACTTTAGAATTCTTTTGAACTTGATCGCCAACGTAGATCTTGCGAAATTGCTCAAAGAAGCTCAACATCGCTAATTCCAGTTTCTCACAGCCGCCTTGTGCGAGTCTCGAATCAGTTAGGTTCATCAACTGAAGCACTCTGCAAACCAATTCTCCGTCCATAGCGTCAAACTCTTCGTTGCTATTAAACGCAACCCTCCCGCCTATAACACCCCCTGGGAAAGATGAGAAGAGGACGATGTAAACATCATTACTTATGAAAAGACAACAACGCATCTAATACACAGTGTATTCAAAAAATTCCAGGACTGGTCGCACACAGATCAAACAACGCCATGTATTGACTCCTCTTTAATATCAAGCTTCTACATAGTCTCCCGCCAATTCGATACAACGCTTAGAACGAGTTTTGAGGTCCATCATCGCCTTCTGGAACGCCTCCACTGGAATACTGTTCAGTTCCTTCGTCACCGCCTTTTCAATCGCCTCTACTGACTCATATCGGTGTCCCTTCATCTTCAATTTTAGCTTGAGAAACAAAAAATAGTCTGGGGGGGACAGATCAGGTGAGTTTGGGAACGACTTTTAAAACGAATGCGGCGTGTGAGGTCAAGTGTTGGAGAGCGGAGAGAGGTGGCTGTTGCACAACAATGCACCGGCTCACAAGTCCATTGTTGTACAGGAGTTTTTGACGAAAAGGCAAGTTGTGAGCATCAACCACCCTGCGTACTCACCTGATCTGCCCCCCCCCCCAGACTATTTTTGTTTCCTAAGCTAAAATTGAAGATGAAGGGACATCGATATGAGTCAGTAGAGGCGATTGAAAAGGCGGTAACAAAGGAACTGAACAGTATTCCAGTGGAGACGTTCCAGAAGGCGATGATGGACCTCAAGACTCGTTCCAAGCGTTGTATCGAATTGGCGGGAGACTATGTAGAAGCTTGATATTAAAGAGGAGTCAATACATGGCGTTGTTTGATCTGTGTGCGACCAGTCCTGGAACTTTTTGAATACACTGTGTATACTCACTTACCTATGATATACACAAGCCATGTGAGCTGTCCCTCCTGGATCGCAATGTCGATCTGTTGCGTCGGGGACACCGTTTGTGCCATCAGCTCCTGGTATGCTCTTGCGGCTTGATCGAACAGCTGGACTAGCAGGGTGCACGTTTTTTGATACTCACACCTACCAATGACTGATATTTGTTCCAATTGATGATGAACCACGCCTAAATCATCCAACGGATCCTCCAGGCGTTCCCTGACCACTACCGCTACCGATTCAAGTCTCGACGTGATGTACGCGTTTGTAACCTCTGGTGTGTACGTGTTTAATAAGTGTGGATCGCCCGCTTTCACATACGGCATTGAAGACACCATTCTTTGCCACAGAGTCAAAAGATAGTGCAGACTGTTTGGCGCAAATTGCCACATCTGCAAGCTCTGTACTGTAAACTTGGCGATCAGTTGTATTGCTTCGGGATAATCCTCCACCAGGACCAACTCGCCAAGTTGGAAATTGCTCTTCAGTCGAGATAATAATCTACAAAACTCATGATAGTTTCCTGGATCACTAAGACCCTGAGGATTCTGCAGTATATGTTTAATACCGTTGACCAAGTGCGTCAAAAATTTTGCCCTTTCGGTATTAGAGAACAAGCTCCGTCTGACCGACGCTATTTGAACCAGACACGAGAGCGCCAGACACGACAAAGTATTAGGTAAACTGTGATATAGATCGAAGAACAGTTTCAATGAAGTAAAATCCAGGAACGCAGGTCTCCAGCTCGTCGGGATTTGTACTGTGTTGAGATCATCCGAGCTCTCATCGGTCGAGGTGCCAATAAAGTCAAATGTCAAACAGTTCTGTGCAAGCTTCAACAGTTGCCTTATCAAACCGTGCTGTGGAAGAGGCGCATGGACGATGCATTAATGCGGAGAATCGGACAAGCTGTGGCCGGTGTTGTTACGCAATTGTTACCAATACCATACCTGCGCTTCATCGTTGAAATTCAAATTTTTACAATTTTCACGGGCCGTACTCAGTAGGGTACACGATAACCTAAATATTTCAAATAGCTGTGTGTCTCTAAAGCTACTCGCTATCCTCCTGTGCTTCGTCAGAGATCTGTTCGCGTCGGCTTCCGATATTTGATTCATTTCGCATGTCAATTGGGAGAGCAGCTGTACTCCTATCATACAATGCTCCACCGACCCCTTTGGTTGTTGCAACAAAATATTATTAATCAGGGAGCATACACGCATATACCTAGCGTATACACAGGGAACGTAAGGATTCAAAGTGTGCCAAACCTGAAGAAACTTGGCTATGTCGCTGACTACATTCCTGAAGACAAATTCCTCCTTGTCGGAATCGAACCACCCGAGCTTTGATATCCTAGCGAATAGTGTAACCAAAGCCTGTATCACAAAATTCGGTAACTTTGGTTGTGTTGCTAAGTAGTTGAGTACATAATTTCCTGCAAACACACACACGTTGAAGAAGGTGAGACATCTCTCGTTCAAACTCCACAAGCCGCGGGCATCGCGCCACTTACGTATATCGAGCCTCTGTTGTAAGCTGAGTGTTGTCGTGAGCTGTCCCTGCGCCGAGCGCGACACCAGCTTCGTTAAAGTGGTAGCGGCCAGCAATTGAGCATACGCCGAGTCTCCGCGGTCCAGGAGAAGCTGGCACTTGGTGAGCGTGTCCGGTGCATTTTGAAACGCGACCAGGGCCTTCTCCGCCTCCGCGCGATGCGCCGAGTCCTGCGACTCGTACAGCTGCTTGCATAGCAGCTCCAGCTGCCGCACTTCCTGTATGTGATCCATTCTTAGTCACACAGTTCAAAGCCGCTTCCTCGAGACTTTCATTTGGGTAGGAGTCTAAGAGTTCCGCAGCGATACATCCACTTTTCACGGCGCCTCGCAAATCTTTGTCAGCGTCACTCGCCGCTACTGTCCGGGACATTTACAATTTTGCAATACACACGCATCGACGTCGGTTCGGTCGGTCTCGTTGTTTTTTTTTCCCCCCTACACAGGGCGACGCGTCCGAGATACCGTAACCGTTCGTTAATTCTCTACGAGGGGACGTGTCTCTAAAAAGATGGTGAGAAGGTTATATACGGGTGTCGCTGACACTACACCGAGCTGCACCGCACGCATTCATTGCACCAGCGACGAGTGCAAAACAATCCCTTTCGTGTCGGCGATCAGTTAGAAAATTTGCAATCACATCGCTTACAGGTTACAGGCACGAGAGAAAACAAAAGTGCACACCATTCTGTAAACGATCAATTCCGCCAGACCGGGAATCTCATTGCGAGACAAGGAACATTTTGCGCGACCGATTGTAATTTTCTCCCGGAGAGACGTTGCCTCGACGGTAATAAACATAAAATAAACGGCTCTTCAAGCGCACTCGAGCGACGCGCAACTTACTTACGAACTGTACGATATTTACATGCTTCGCACGCACAGTCGTACACACGCCCGTGCAGTATTGCAGTAACGAGGCGGGAAAAAGGCAGAGATCTCGATTTCCGTCTCGCGGCCGAACCACTCGTCGCGTGTTTTGCCGAGAAATTGCGCACAAGGTGCTCGCCGTCGGGCGTAGGGGATTATCAGTGAACGGTGCGCCAGCTGACTGGCGCGAGGCCTCTGTGCGGGATCTCGCGGGCAGGTTATGCGCGAGCGACAGGTTGTAAATAAACGGCGCGTGTTATCGTTGAGAGCGAGGATTTGGGGGGCCGAGCGCGAGCTGAGTGTCGCTCACGCCGGACGAGCGCTCTCGCACGTTTCGCGCTTCCGCTCCGCGGGTGTAACCCGGTGGTGGGTGGTGGTGGCGGCGGCGACGGTGGTGGTGGTGGCGGCGGCGGCGGTGGCGGTGGTGGTGGTTGTGGTAGTGGCGGTAGTGGCGGCAGCGGCGGCGGTATACAAACAACGCATACGCGAGGATAAACAACAACGTCGACGGCGACGACGGCGACCCGAGTCATCGCACGCTTTCGTTTACATCGCAGCACGCGCGAACTTTCACGTGACGTTCAGTCACGGGGGACTCGCCGCACAGCAGCGTGGATCAGGTGATCACTGATCGGCTGGTAATTGTCCCAAGGATCAATCAGCGTCCGCCGTCACTAGGAGGGACTATCGGCTTGACAGACGCGGCGGAACTAGGAGAGGACTAGCGTGAAAGGCTGCGTAACGTAGCGGCGCGATCGCATATCGTCGCGCACTACCCCGCGTTCAGTTTTGTGTCAACGCGGGAGAAACGGCGCGAAGATCCCTCCGGCGGCCGCTTCGCGAGAGATGCGACGAGCGCGCGCGCGGATTCACGCTGTACACACGATAAATGCACGCGCGGAAATCCGGCGCGGATTCCGCCGGCGGATCGCGATCACTCGCGCGGCGCTGCTCCGCTCCGCGTCGCGGTTAATAGCGTCGCGTCGCGTCGCGTCGCGTGCGGGACACGCGTGTCGGTCATCGGCGACTCACCTGTTCGTCCGCCATTTTCCGCCAGTCTCGTATTATCTACAGTGAAGCTAGGATCACATGCCAGCCTCCGTCCGCAGCCGCCGCCGGCGCATGTTTATACCACAATCTACGTCGCACGCGTCTTGCCCAGTGCGAGGCGCGCGCCAAGGAACGTCATCTTCCTTTTGCCGGCCGTACTACTCGCGCGTATGAGAACGCGCTTTGCGGATGGACGGGATTTTTTAAGCCTCGTCTACAATTCGCTCATACTCTCAAGCCGCAGTTTCACGCAGCGAGTAAAAGCTGGCGTTTTAGTCCCAGTCTACAATAGATGATTTAAGCCCTAAGCTTTAAGAAATTGGCCAATCACGGTCAAGTATGAGAAGAATGCGCGACTGTGATTAGTCAATTTCTTAAGGCTTAGGGCTTAAATCTCTATTGTAGACTGGGACTTACCCCCACTCCACCGCCACGCAAAGCAGCGTTAAAAAGCTGTTCGCTATCGCCTCTATCCTTTTCATGTAT